CATTTTATGCAATGTGCGATGCTTCGAACTTTGGCATCGGTGCAGCACTATTACAATCACAAAATGGTACAAATAAAATGAACCTCATATCAGCAAATTCTCGATTATTCACTCAAGCAGAGCTACGACTCTCAACTCTAATGAGAGAATGTACAGCCATAATATATACACTGACAGAATATGAATTTCTGATACTTGGATCAAAACATCCAACAGTTTTATTCACAGACCATAAACCAATCATTTTTCTTTTTACACAAAAGTCTAATCCAAACCACCGAGTTTACAGATTTCAACTAATTCTAATGAAATTTCCAAACTTACATATAGTTTGGACTGCAGGAAAAAATCTTGCATTACCAGACACCTTAAGTCGAAATACACCACCTGAATTACTTACACGAAAAACAACAGTTGAAATACCCAAAAACATAAAATTCTACCTTGCAGAAAACGAAACATCACCCCGATTGGAATGCAAATATGCAGTAAAAACTGATATTGAACAATCACAAATAAATAATTTACAACATTTCCCACTTTATTTAGATTGTCAAAATAATCATTATGAAGTTGATCTACTTGGAACATCAACTTTCAAACCAATCCCATATTCTCAATGGATCAAAAATAACACCCAACAAAAACGAACAAAACAACACCCGCCTAAAAAAGACCATTTTCCACTAATTGAAAAAGAAGATTTAACTGATAAAATAAATTTATCAGGACCACAAACAAATGATTCAAAATACACAATAAATCAAGTTTTTGACCTTCACGACCCACTTGACACAATACCCTTATCTAAATTAGAAATCGAAAACATTTTTCTCCCCCCAACAGAAACAATTACAATTTCAACACTGAAACAATATCAAAATCTTGACCCGATAATTAGACAACTAAAATCATGGCACAAATATAAAACTAAACCTATCAAAGCAGATTCAACCATTCTAGGAAACAAAACACTCCTCCGATACTTTCGCAAATTTAACAACACAACAATTAACGAAAATACAGACCTTTTAGAGTATAACCTGAATGAATCTACAGTTCCATGTCTCCCTTTAAGTATGATTCTTATAGCTTTTAATATTTCACATACACAAAATATTAAAGGACACTCTGGATCAGAAAAAACATATTCAAATTTTATACAAAACTTTTATTTCCCAAATGCACCAATTTGGATAAAAGTACTATGCAATGACTGTATAGTATGTCAACTAAATAAACCTTACCCAAATCAAAAACAAATAGCACAAAAACAAGATTTTAAAGGACAAAGTTTGTACTTTAATCATCGTATCTCATTTGATACCAAAGGACCAATTTCACCCTCATCAGAAGGAAACTCCTACATTATGGTAATTGTTGACGCATTTACACATTATGTAGCACTTAACCCAGTACCACATTGTAACGCTTATTACGCTTACACAACACTCTATGAACACTGGATAGCAAAATTCGGACTACCAGAAATTTTAGTTACAGACAACGGTACAGAATTCATAAATAATGAAATTATCACACTATGTCATTTATATAACATTAAACACAAACCACGTACATCTCATGCACCTTGGACAAACGGCTTAGTCGAAGGTATGAACCGTTCATTACAAGAATATCTTAGATGTATCATCAACGGAAATGATACAAAATATACCGAATGGTCAGCAGATGTAAAATTATTTCCCTTAGCATATAATTCACAAATTACGACAACTTTAGGAATGTCACCATACGAAATGGTTTTTAACCAAAAGCCACGCAAACCAATAATGTTTACAGCAAATTCTCATAAAAACGCACAAGGTTATTGTCAACCAAATAAAGACTCAATTTGTTATAACCTACCTTTACATACACACGATGAAGATCATTTTCATCACCCACAAATTCTTAAACTAGCCTCCGGTACACACACCGAATGGATTCTAAATAGAGATAAAAAACACAATGAAATTTATCAAAAAATAACAAAAAAGTTATTACAAAGACAAAACATTAATGAACAAATCAATTCACGTTTTACACCAGCCTCCGATTTAAAAATTGGAACATTTGTTTTAATACCTAATTTTAATACACAAAAAGGAATTTCAAAAAAATTACAACCCCTTCGAAAAGGACCATACCAAATAATTGCAAAACCCGATGATGTCACATATAAAATTACGAACTCAAACAAAAAAGAAATCGTTCAACATCGAAACAACCTATTACCTTATTACCCAAAAGAATACGCACTCCGCGAATTAACTCAATTATATTCTTTCACAGGATTAAAAATCATTCAAAATGAACCACATCTGAAAAACACAGAACAAAATGATAACCCCACCGAAAATCAAAACACAAAACCAATCGCCACCAAAATCAATACACAAAACCATAAAGAATCTCCAAAACAAAGAAAAAATAGAAAAATGACCGAACAAATAATACCCCAAGAACAAATCGACAAATCTGAACATAGAAAAACAACAAGACTCCGAAATCAACCACGTAAAAACTATAAAATATTCATCCCCCAATCTAAAATTTTAAAGAAAGTAGAATTTCAAAAGTAATTTTAACATTTGCTTCACAATCTTGAAACCTCCGAAACATTTTTCATTTACATTTTTCAAAATAACATGCTGACAAGTACGTAATAATTCTAGTTCAAAATAGACCAATAGGATTCATCCAATCCGTCACTTTCTCTAACTCAAACTAAGATCAATTAGACGAATAATCTAGAACTCCAGGCACATCTCTAACTATAACTTTACAACCTCCAGGTCAAAAATAAGCAAATCACTCCAACTTGACAGCTAAAATAGATATCACCATAATACCGTACCCCTCCCTTATCTAATAACCCAAAGATCAACAATATTTCCCCAACTCAGACCACGAATACCCCCAAAACAAATTTGATAACTTAGCCTAAAGTAACAAAATGAAGATTTTAATTAGCCTAAAGTATAAAAATCTCACCATACCCCGGATCATTTGACAAACAAAAATAAAGAAAAAGACGACCTCCCAGTCACCATGAAAATTGCCCCCAACAATTTTTTACAGAACTCAACCCACTTGTCAAAAAACTAATAAATAATCCGACCACACTAGAAAATCGCCTCAAACAGCAAAAAATATTCGACCAAGAGATCATTTCTTAAATGCTCTTCTCTCAATCAGTTACTCAAATACTCATAAATCTTAAACATTTTTTTACAATACTTGAAACCTTTATAATATTTCTTTTTGATATACTTGAATCTTTTCTAATAATCCTAATCATTTTTTGTAACATTTTTTTAATTTTCTACACTATACTCGAACTATTCCTCCAACTTTCCAAAACCCTTGATTACATCCACAGGTACGAGTCATATAACTTGTCTAAATGATACGAACAATTTTCAGTAGAACCGATATTTTTTTATTGTTTGTAATTTTCATAACATTTTTATCATCCCTCATTTTGACAATATGTAAATGTATAAAGAAAGCAATCTTCACTTTTGCCCTAGCAACAATCCTTCTAATTCTTTTTTTGGAAGAATACTATAATAAACATAAACCTTCCCACTAAAGTAACAATTCAAAAATCCATCAAAAATTGCTACCCAACAGTCACAGAATCAGTCTTCACCGACATCATCCCAAGATAACCAAACACCACCTTCAACTACTCAAAATCCTCAAACATCTACACGAATTTCTTTTCAAGACAATCCATACACTTTTGAAGAACGACATGCTCGTTTATCAGAACCACTAGAACCAGTTCAACGACAAGCACCTCTAAGCGAACCAACATATAACCTATACCCAACACTACCACAAGAACTAAGTAGAATAAGAAATCCTAGTCAAAACCAAAATACAGTCGAAATAAATAGACAAATTATACATCCTCGACGAAACAGAAATCTTCAAACTCCCCGAGTTCATTTTGATATACCTCAATCCCCATCACAAAACACTCCAGAAAACCCCATTGGTATATTACCAGAAACCCCTACGCTTCTTTCACAACGTAGCACCTCAAGCCTACCATCAGATTACTTAGGTTCAACACCAACATCTGAGCAAATACGTGAAAATCCTTTCAACCCCACAAACCAAACATCACGATTCCCATATTGGACTACACATTCATTTACACAAGGTGAACCAAATTTAGTCAATGACCGCATAGATATTTCTACGGATACAACAACATCCTCATCACTACCAGAAACATTATCACTACCATCAACACCATCAATAAGCCAGTTTTCACCACCACCCTTTAACTTAAACTTTCCAAATAATCTCGACGCCAGATATCGAGAACAATCATCAATAAATATTCCTTTAAGACTAGATTGGAATACATTCACAGCACCTCCACCACTATTTGGACAACATCAAGAAAGTAACCGCCTTCATAACTGGGCACTTAATAGATTACAATATCGCCAAGATATTCACAACGATATCCGTGATCACAATATTCAAATACTCCAACAAAACAGTTTACAATTAAAATTTGAAATCACAGTTAAGTTAAATAATATTACCCAACATCCCTACCCATTAAATCCACCTAACATAACAGCTCAATCACTACCACCACCGTTTATAACTACTGAAGTAATATACAAATACGACAGATATACCAAAAACACAATTGGCTACATTACATTTTATAATCCATACTCAGGATTATCATACACATGTATATTCTAAAATTATTAATTTTTCCGAACTAAAACCGGAAAACACTTCGGTCTTAACTCAATACTAAAGTAGCAAAAAATTCAGAGCAATTTGAAAATATTCTTGGGCAAGTATTCTACGTCAGATCAGTTTTTTCTCAAATTTAAATTAAGGCCATTCAGAAAAACTGTTTAGTCGCTTTTACAGCAACTAATTTTGTGCATAGATTTAAAAGTATCAAGATTGAAAATTTTTTCAGTCCACTTTCTTATAATAAAATACGATTGCAGGCCTGACTGGCACGATCAGCACGTGGTACGGGTGCTTCCTGACAGAGAACCCCTGGGTGGTCATCTTAATCAACCTCTTCTTCGCCACTCTGCTCCTCTGCGGCCTCTTCATCAACGAGAGCCTCACTGACTTCGAGGCACTCATGACCCCCAACAACAGCGCCTCTCTCAAGGACAGACGACTCATTTCCGGTCTGCTGTCGTTTGTCGTTTTTTACCATCTTACGCCACCAATCTATTATCTCTTCAAAACCGACTACAATAAAAAATACGCACTTTTCTGAATCAATCAATTAGCAAAGAAATAAAATTAGAGAGAGCCTCATGGAAGATTTTGGCCCACGGAAAATTCCCTCAGAAGAGAATGTCTTGAGCAATGGAACTGTCATCAAAAAAAATTTTAGCGTGCGGTGCGAAAAACTTTGCAAAGTTAGGCCGCTATAGTGTTTCGAAAGACTACGACAAAAAATTGAACCTTTGTTTTTTTTGAAACCCCTCCCCACCCCATCGGAAAAAACTTAGAACCCCCACTTGATGAATCAGAAGATTGCTAAAACAAATCTTTCTAAGGAAGTCGAAAAACTATGTAAGTAATCCATACTCATTTCCTAATTAAAATGAACTTGCTGCGGTTTTCAATATGGGCGTGATTAAAACAACAACAGACCTATGAATTACTTGTGAATAGACATCTTCTACGAGCACGGGGACGAGGACTACATCCCCTCTCACAACCCATACCCCCCACTGTACGCGGAGGCCCTCATAGTCCCCCGGGACCCCAGTGGCAACCTTCTATCGGAGGAATACCTGGTCCAGATCATCGCATTCGAGTACTTCGTCTACTCCGAAATACGTTAGATGTTTTAAGCCCAGTTTCACTGTATTTCAGTTTTTCGTATACAATTTTTCGTTTGAATAGTTCGGTAAATAACAAAGTGAAACCATATATTGTAAGCGAGGTGTTAAACCGTTGGCGATAATAATTATCCTTTTAAATTATTAATCTTTTGTCTTTTAAGGAAGCTTTTCTTTTAAGTTTTTAATGTCTCAAATAAACAAACTAAACAGAAGAATTAATCGGGGATAAAATTTCTCTTCAGTATCGACTTGAATCACCATTAAAAGTTCCCCATTTAGTATCGGGAGACAGGTGGCATGGCCATTATTGCTTTTCCAACATAATTTCTTTGTTCATAATTGTTTTTAGGAGTTACGTATTTGGTAAGAAATACCCAATAGACAGTTTTTCCTACATTTGTCAATTTCAAATAACCCACTTTTTTTTGGAAATTTGTATCACGACTAAGTTGTGCTTAACATATTCCCTCGATTTTTTTTTCGAATTGAATTGACGCAGCATATTTGGTTTTTCAATTTGGTAAACCAGAAGGCATCATTTGTTGCTTCACTTAACGTATGGAGGGATAAATTTCACATTTCCATACTTTAGAATCTCTTAGTAATTAGAAAAGATTAATATTCAAGTCGGTGCTCTTAAATGGTCTGCATTTTTTTCAGACAATTTTGTGCATGGGTGGTTTTTTTCTCCAGACAAATTTCGACTTTTTAACTATCATTTTTTACGGAATTTTTTTTACATCATTCGAAAAGTATTGCTGTCTTGAGCTCAAAATTAAAATTTTATTGTACCTCTAATTTTTTGAGAATTTTTGGGGGTTGCAAATTTGCTCAATTTCGGATAATAAGCGCGCTATATATTCCGTGCTATTAACTCGTAAGCGGAGACTTAATCCATTTTTATAAATTGTTCCAAATTGAATAGAGGTATGCTATTTAGTTTATTTAATACTTCGCTAAAAGCAAAATATGTCACTTTGTACTTTACACAATTGAATATTTTTTTAAAAAATCAAAAAAAAAACTTGGAGCTTTTTTCTTTCTTTTTTTCGAAAATTACATTAATTATTTCAATTTAAACTACAGTGCTGATTTAAATTAACCGGACAAAACGCGCTAAACTTGAAATTTAAAACGCGTTTTTCTCAAATTGGGTTGAGTTTAGATGAAAACTTATGAAGACAAAACTTGCTTAAAATTTTAGCAGAATTATTATGGTGTAATTTGTTTTGCAAAATACGGGCCCAAAATTTTACCCCAAAAATGAGTCATTTTGGCTTTTCTTAGTTAATCAAAAATTAAGTCAAAATTACCCAGTCGATCACAGACATAGTTATATCAAAGTGAGCCCCTTTTGTAGCCCAACAAACTTTATGAAGAGTATTTTCTCCAAAAAAATTGCAAATTTTTTAAAAACTGTTTTTAAATAAAAAGTTGGTATTTTATATAGTAAAAATGATTTTTTTGTCTATCAAACAAAAATAAATTAACTTATACATTATTTTGGAGAAAATACACTTCATAAAGTTTGTTGGGCTACGTAAGGGGCTCACTTTGATTTAATTATGTCTGTGATTGACTGGGTATTTTTGGCTTAACTTTTGATTAACTAAGAAAAACCAAAATGACTCATTTTTCGGGTAAAATTTTGGGCCTGTATTTTGCAAAACAAATTACACCATAATAATTCTGCTAAAGTTTTAAGCAAGTTTTGTCTTCATAAATTTTCATCTAAACTCAACCCAATTTGAGAAAAACGCGTTTTAAATTTCAAGTTTAACGCGTTTTGTCCGGTTAATTTAAATCAGCACTGTACTACAAAAAGAGTTTCTTTCTTTTTTTTTGAAAAATACATTAAGTATTTCAATTAAAACTACTACAAAGAGATTCAACTGCAGTCGAAACATGAATATATTCGTCCTGATCCGAGCAGATTTGTTGTGAAATGTTTACATTTTGCATAAAAAATTGAGTGGGAACTTCATGTTGGAATGAGCCATGTGAAATTTAAAATCTCATAACTGTGAAAAATCATTATCAGAAATTAATCCAAACATCAATTTGCTAATAACAAGTCAAGTCTCTACTTTTTGACTGTTTTGATATGTATGAACAATCTAAGCATATCGTTAAGCAATTTAAATTTTGATAAATTTTCAAAGAAAAATTAGAACAAAAATTGTTTTTTTTAGTAATTCTTCCACACGTTTATTAAAAATCAAATTGATGTTGTTGGCGTTAAAAAATTCTACTTTTAACAGCTTACAATTTTTTAGTGGGGTTAAGTAGCATCTTACGAGTTAAAAGAAAGAGATATATTGCGCACTAAATCTCCCAAACAGTCCTGTTCCCCCAAACCGTCCTTCTTTAAACAACCATAAATTTAAATACTCCAAAACCGTCAACTTTTAATTACCATAGCGTAATTACACTTGCGAAGCGATTGTGCTGGTACGAATCCTCTTTTTTTCCAACCTAAGGCCAAGTAATGGTGCCACTTTTTGGGCACCAATACAGCTTTTTCATAGCATGTAAATTGACACTCGAATAGTTAATAAGTTAACACGCTTGATGCTTTTTTATTTCATCAAATGAACCAAAAAAAATTGTTTCAATCAACATAACAATAATCAAAACTCGATTTACGAAATTTTCCGACACAATATATTTCGCAATTTTTTGAAACTTTAATTTATATATACTGTAGCGTTATGCTTTGCGATTTTTAATACATGCAAAATTAGCTTACATGCCTTCAACTTGTTATACTCCAAAATATTGAATGCAAATTGGGTCTACCTGTATTTGGTGCCACGTTTGCTGAATGGCTTTCACAAACTTTTACATATGTAGCTGCTTTATTCGTGACTTGTGTTTGTCGGTTGTTAAACTTGTGTGGCTGGAGGATAGTGCGTGAGACTCTTGATTGCAGTCAGTCGCAGATTCAAATCCTACACAAAGCCCAGTTTTTGATAATCCGAAGCTTATTTGTACTCTTTTGTATTTCACTTGATAGAGCTGCTTTTTGGTCGTGTTCTCGCAATTGTTTGCAAAGCGCAGCTTCGCCTTCGTGTAAACATTAATCCCAAGTAGAAAACGTTTTTTAAATTGACCTCAGGACGTCAATAGTTTTCATAAGCTAAAAAATTCGTTCAAAAGTGGCTAGTAACAAAGTCGAAATTGTCCAAAGAAAAAAACACTTCGAGCTCAAGAATTCTTTTTTTTTTAATCTGAGAAGCAAATTTATGCTTGTTTTAAAGCTTGCACTGGAACTATTTTTTCTAAGTTAATACCAAAAAAATATCGATCGGTTGTTTGCTTCATTAGTAAAACATAGATTAACGTGCGACCCATATTAGCTATGTTGCGACTTTGTGCGACCCAAATTAGCTATGTCGCGACTTTGCGCGACCCAAATTAGTTATGTTGCGACTTTGCGCGACCCAAATTAGATATATTGCGACTTTGTGCGACTCAAATTTCTTGCGGGATGATGGAGTTTCGGTCGCAAAAAGTACATTTCGGTCGCGATATGAGTCGCGGATCTCGGCCCGGGAACGTCAAAAAAAATTGCTTGACAGTTTTGTTTGAGAATCTTCCATGCCAGCTGTCTTCTCAAGTTGAGATTGTTCGCCCAAATTGAAGCAAGGTTTGAGCGGTTTTTTTAGACGATTGCGCTGAAAATCTTGCTTCAAAAAGAGCGGTTTGAGCGTTTTTGAGCGGTTTATCTAAAAACACCGCTCAAAGGCCGCGCAAGATTTGAACGGTTTTTGAGCGGTTTTTCTAGATAACCGCTCAAAAACCGTTCAAATTTTGCGCGGTTTTTGAGCTGTTTTTTTTTTTAATAAACCGCTTAAAAACCGCTAAAACCGCTCATTATGAAGCAAAATTTTGAGCGTAATCGTCTAAAAAAAACGCTCAAAACGCTTAAATCTTGCTTCAAATTAGGTGAAAAATCTAGACTCGGGTTCGCTAAAGGGCCATTTATATTGTTGTTAGAGCATGCAAAGTTGTTTTTCTGAACAAGTATAATATATTTCAGAGTGAACCTGAGCATAAAAGGCCAAAACTGGTCCGATACTATTTAATATGGGGATAATCAAGTTTCCCTTTTTAGAGTACCACTGAAATTTAATATTTCAATATTATTTTTAGAATAGATATTCATTTATTTTTCAAAAAGGAATTTCAACGTGATAATGTCGTTCCCTTGTGAAAAAGTCGATTCATAATACTACAATTAGCATAAGCGTAGCTCATGAATAGTACAAAAGAGATTATGACTGCGCCATATTGATAATAAGACAATGGTTGAATTCGATCAATTAGAGAATTTTGAATTTTGCTAAATTTGACTTCCTTATTTTAAAAAAGGTTGACTTTTGTTCAAAAAAGTATTGTTTCTTGAGGGAGACGAGTTGGTTTAGACGTTACTAATTAGTGACATAATTGGTTAAGAGCCAACTTTTCCTTGCTGAGCGATAAATTTAAATACAAAAACCAAAATTTCTGAAAAAAAGTATTCCGGAAAGTGTAGTCTTGTGGATGGATTGAGATGTTATTTGCAAGACATTAAATCCGCCAAAAGCCTATTTATTGACGGATTCTTTTTATGATTGCGGTGGTTTATTCCGGCTGCGACAAATGGATTTTGTAAAATTATGGAATCCTAATCCTAAGCCTATGGTAAATTTGGGATAGTCAACTTCTGCGAAAACTCCAAGTTTTGCTTAGCGTCGGCGGCAAATAGTTATCGCTCGAAAATCATTCCATAAACGCATCAAAGTTAGCTAATTGATTCAAATTGTGTGCTGGATTGCAATTTTTGCAAACCGAATTATTTTATTTTTTGCAATACACGCTGAATGGATTTTTCTTTTTCAATAATAAGATGAAAACTTGGTTCAAATCCTTTCCAAAATTGACCAAAATTGACCAAAATGGGTTGATCAAAATCGATTTTCTTACAGCTTTTATGAAATGGAAAAACTCATATCATACAATTTCGATCAATTCCATACGTACAGAAGGTTGTAAGAAAAATTCAACCACCAACTTTTTTATTTATGTAAGTTATATGACAAATCATTTTCAATAAACTGAATAAAAAACAATAATTTATGAGTTTTGCTAAATGTTTTTGTGTTTTGTCTGAAATTACAAAAACCTCGGCTTTCTAACGCAAGAAACCTCTTATGGTCGACAGATTCTAGGCTTATGATCAATAACGGTATGAGATAAAACTTTTTCTTAGCTCACTCAAAACTATGAAAGAAATTGAAACTAGAAAAATTTTGGTCAATATTACGAGTCAAAAAGTTTGGCCTTTTTTCTGACAAATTAAATTGTATCTTATAATATAAACACAAATTAATTCAAATTTATATTCGCACCAAAACTTTCAGTCAACTTTGTTTCTTTTGTATGAAAAATTCAGATTGAACTATGCTGTAGACAAAAGTAACAAATTTTGGATCCTTTTTTTCAAAAATTGTTTATATAGGCATGAAAATTACATTGCGGCTGAAAATTTTTTAAATTTAAACTTGGATTTTTACGGATGATGTTTTGGATCAATGCAAACATTGCTTATCATACATAATTTTTTTATACTTTTATAGCAAGTGTATGATAATTATTTTTTTTATACACTCTGTGTATGAAAAAGTACGATAAGCAGTTTTCTTGCATGGAAATGTGTTTGTGGCTTTTTTCGTGCATGGAGGTTAACCCGGGTTGTGTACTCGGATAGCAAATCATCCAAGACTCTCACAAAAATTACATATATTGCTAGAATCGTAGAAGAATCCTGCGAAATTTGAGTTCTCTAAACCACATATAATTTCCACTGATGATTTATAATTTATGCATTTTGCGCAAACATATCAATTTGCATAAACATATTGCCCTTAATTTTTTCTATTAGTTTTGATTAGCGGTATTAAAACTGTTCATTACTTTCACAACCAGTTTTTTTCAAAATTGAATTTTTATTTATCAGTTTTGAAAAAAAGTTGAAAGGCGTGAGGCGACAATTTGTAACAGGCGACAATTCGTAACAGGGGACAATTCGTAACAATAACTTAAGCGGCAATACTAATTCATGCGCAATATTCCTCTCGTGCCTGATGTAAGCGCAGAGGAAAAAGCGTATTCTACTTGCCAATGCCATGTTATGAATTGTCGCCTGTTACGATTTGTCGCCTATTACGAATTGTCACCATAGCGTTAAAAGAGTGTATACACCTTTAGAAACGTTAGTTTCGCATGTTTTCAAGCAATTTTTATGCTTTTTTTTGGTCTCAGGGGAAACATATAATATAGCCGTCTCCATTGCGAGGTTTTGTTCATTATCTGCTAGATACTGGCAAAAACCTGCAAACTGAATGCAATTTTTTCAAGAATCTTCCAAAATCATTGACTTGCAAAATTAAAGCAAATCTTGCTATTAATCGTCTTCATCAATAGCCATACGTTTAACGGCATCTGGAGTTTTGGGGGTTTTGCTTTGATATCAGCAGTCAAGTTTTTTTCTAACTAACTAATAAGCGTAGTTTTGGGACATAATAGTTCATCAAAATAAATTGTTAAAGCTGTTTGGACTGATTTATTTATTTTATAAGCTATCGAACTAAAGGACGGAACATTTGATATTGGCATTGCTTTGTTCAGGTCCAGTTAAATAACAGTTAAATTTTGACCAGTTAAATAACAAATTTTGATGTCCATGTCTTAGATTTTTTACGGACAATTTAAAATTTTGGGTTTTCTTAATTGAGTGCGATTTATATTTTTACTTTTTTTATATTTATGATGAATAATGATCAGCAGATGCAAAAATGTTCTGTAATTTCCTAAAAGAAACTTTCAAAAAAATTTTCATGTCTCGGAGGTCATTGTAATTACAATGTAATCCTAAAAATGAAACTCTGTTCTGCACGTTTTAGAGGAACTTGAAAAGCTGAAAAACTGCATTGTGTATTGCCTTTCAAATTTTTTCTTGTTTCTGGTGACTAACTTCAAATTAGCTGGTGGTTGTTTTTTTAGTGGATTTTTCAAACAAAAAACAAAGGTACAAAACGGAAAAAGTCAATTCAAGCAAATTTTTCATCAAAATTCACATCTAAGGACAGTTCCGTTTTTTCTAATTTTTTAAAATAGTATTTACGTACCTAATTGCTTTTCAGAATTGCAAATTCAAGGCCGAGTGTACAAGTACACTGATCTATGTGCTAAACACAGCACGCATTGCGTCAAAGAGGGAATTACGAAGTACATCAAAATGAAAGATCATGAAGAATTCTTCGACAAACTAGAGAAGAACAAAGAAGACTCTTTTTCATTCGCCAAAGACCTCACTTGGCCTATAAAAAACGACGATTTCCTGCCGACTTTCATTAGCAATACTTCAATTACAGACGGAAAGGCAACTTCAGCTCAAGCTTTGAAGCTAAGATGGTATCTCAGACAAGCTCACGATACTGGTGCTTACGACAAAAGTCTGTCATGGCTTAAAAATTACGAAGAAAAAGTGATGCAGTTTTCGACTTCAGATAATTTTCTATCCTATGCTAATTCAGAGTGCAAAATTAACATCACTTTCGCCATGTCAGAAACTTTAAATATGCTGTTAAACTCGGCCCCACCTAGCGACACATATTTGTTCATAATATCTTACATTTTCGTTCTTTTGTTCACGATGTTCGTTACCGGCGGTACTAATTGGGTCACGAGTCGTTCGTTTCTCGCTGGCGTTGACGTCATAGCGCTCGGAATGGCGACAGTCGCCGCACTTGGCATGGTTGGTATGCTCGGAACTCAATTCGTGAGCAGTGTGTCTATAATGCCGCTACTCGTCATTGGAAACGGACTGGATGACTTGTTTATATTCATGTCGGCGTGGAAAAAGACGAGCGCGACTGTTCCCGAAGAGATCCGAGTAGCTCAGACTCTGCGCCGAGCGGGATACCCGATCACGATTAGCTCCGTGGCTTCATTGTCGGCTTTTCTCCTCAGCACTTTTACAGATTTCGAAAACGTGAATAACTTTTGCGTATATTCAGGTAAAATTACGATCATTGTTTTCCCATGACTATATTTGAAACGGTCGCACTGAATGGATAATTAATCAATTTTTTTAATTATTGTTCCGACTTTCAAAGAAAACGGAATATTTTTTCTTGGTGTGGTTTTTTTATTCAGTTAATTTTCGCCGATCGAAATCATATTTTTCGACGAACAAATTTCATACCCCATTGGAGATATCGACTTCCTGAGTTCAAATGTAAAAAGATATTTTACCTCCAATCATTTTTTGTAAAGTTCTTGGGTTTGAAAATTGCCAATTTTGCCATATTATGCGCGCTTTAAAGAATTTATTCATAATGCTGAGAGTGTACCCCAAATTATTTATGCGCGGCGAATTATCCCGCACAACAAAAGTGTTCCAAATTGAATTGAGGCTGGCTAATGGATCGTATTAATTACGTACGACTCAAACTTTCACACTTTGATATTTTTCCACAATTTATAGGCTTTCAATATCTTTGTTCCCAAAAAAATATTCGCTATGAATTAAGAGACAGTCGGAACATTCAGAGCTTTGCCCTGATATGCGAGCATTCTTGTTCCAGTCTTAAATTCCTTTCTCGATTTTTTCCTTTCTGGAGTTTTACTCTAGCGTCATGGTTCATATATCCACCAAACACAACTCATTCCCATTTTGCGGAAAAAAACTAAGCAGATCTTTCCTGTTTTTATGCGCAATATTTCATATGAAAGATTTCTGTTAAAAATACAAAAAACGAAAACATATTAATCTTGTTTCTATCAACGGTAATTTAATTGAGTTAAGAATTGGAAAATAATTAGATTTTTAAATGCCAGACAATTTAACCTTTTGAAAACCTGTAGGCATCAAACATTTATAAGGGAAGCTGGGGACAATCAGTCCTTCATAAAACTTCAATTATCGAAGCAAAACAACATTTACGACCGGGAATAACTTAAAGCAGAAACAGTGAAATGAAAATTATGGAAAAAATCCTTACAATTTCCGCAAAATAAAGTCCGCCTCAATTAATTTTCATAGAGATACAGAGCTGATTTAAGTTAATCGCAAACAACGAACAAAACTGGAAAATTCAAACGCGTTTTTCTCAAATTGGGTTTAGATTAGACAAAAAAGAAGGGAGCAAAAGTTGCTCAAATTTTTGCCAAAATTTGTATGGCCAAAAAAAATTTCGAATTTCGCAACCAAAATTTTACCTAAAATTAGTCATTTTGGCATTTTGAAGTTTATCAAGAATAAGGTTGGAGTTACCGAGGCAAGTACTCCAAAAAGGGTAAGTTAAGAGAAAATACTCCAAAAAATTTGCAAAATGTTTGAAATTTGTTTTTGATCAAAGACTTTGATTTTTATTAAATAAAATGCCCTTTTTTGGCTATCGACCATATTATACAGATTTTTATTCCATATTAATCTCTTATACGGATTTTCAAGGAATCAAATGTAAAGGCTTTAAGTTTTCTCAGACTATATAGAAGGCAGTAAAGCAACGAAAAAACTAGAAAAATTTCATCTCGAGAAGGAATGTTCCATCGCTCTGAAATTCGAAAAAAATTTGGCTGACACTATTTCTAATAATGAAATCATGAAATTTATCTGTGTCAGATACGCGTCCGATAGTAAATTTTGCTATAAAAACCCGATACTAATCGATCCTTGTTCCTTGTTATCCAGGTAAAACTTCTAGATGAGCAATGAGTTATTGTTTTCGGTAATTTTTGAGATTAAAGTACTGAAGTTCTAAGAATTGTTGCTGTAAAATTAAGTTTGATTCAAATCGATAATTGATATTATACACGCGCAATCTGAATTTTTTTTAAATGAAATGATAAAATTTTTGTGAATATGTTTAATGGCGTTCATAATTGAGTCAATTAAACGACATTAAAACTTAAGAATTCTATTAAAGTCCGTTAGAATCGTTCTTTTTTTATTCAATAGTTGTTGAATTGAGTAGGAAATTGGCGTAGGATAGTACGTCATTTTGTATGATCCAAATTAACCCACAGAAAAATCATTTTATTGCATCATAATAAAGATTTTTCCGTCGTAATTTGGATTCCAAAAAAAACTTGTTGAGAATGCCCGGTCTGAAATTTCAACTTTTCAACACTAAATGATGTTGAAGAGCGGATGAATTAAACTTTCTCAGTTTTAACGATGAAAACTTTTTCATTTCACAAAATCTCTAAGGTTGACTGAAATCAGAGGCGGATTAGGATTTTCTCGAGGGGGGGGGGAGTATTTTCAAAAAAAGTTTCGAAAGTTTTTGCCAAATTTCAATTATTTTTTTTAAATCGACCAAATTGATTTTCCGGGCTCTCCCAAACCAGTAACGAGACCCTGTTTCGGCCATATTTTTGCGCCGCAAGCAAATTTTCAAAAAACTGGCCTAAAAAGTTGTTTTTGGGTAGAAACATTTTAGAATCAACCAGTCAAAAGTTAAGGTTTTAAAATAGTACCAAAAGGAGGACCCTTTGTGTAGTCAGGGGTTCTAATCGCTGAGAGGAGGGGCATCTCCCTCCCCCCAAATCCGCTACTGATTGAATTGTATTAACTTGATTTCTTTTTTATTGATTTCGTGATGATCATCTCGCACTACACAAGAAGCAATAATTAAAAATTTAAGGAAAAATTAAAAAAAATTCTTTTCACATAAATACTGGTTGAAAAAAATTGTGCTAGTTGTACAGTAACCGACTACACTTGTAGATAAAAAATTTATATATAAGTAATTTTCAAATGAAATAAAAATGTTATCAAATTTAACAAATGGCTTTAAAACAGTTTTGTGTGCTCAGTTTGCTTCGGAAACCAAACTGAAATCAGAAAATTCTGATTTGCAACAGCTGCTACTTTTATCAGATATCATGAAAATTAAAATTTTCATAAACCAGAAAACAGCTGTTAAACTTAACAAAAAACATGAGATTTCAGCAGCAAATGCTGCTACGACAATGAATAATGTTTTAATTTAGAGGAGGAGCGGAGATTATTTTGTAGATCCCATAGGGGATTGTTTCAGAAAAGTCAATTTTTTTCAGCCAGTGCCGTGGCGTGGTGTTTTGTCGTGCAGATGACCTTTTTCGGCAGTTGTCTCGCGATCCACGCCAGACGCGTGAACAGATATCGCCACTGTCTCAGCTGCATGAGAGTTAAGACCCGACTGCATTTACAGAGAGAAGGAGAGAAGAATCCTCTTAAGTTGTTGTGTTGTGCCGGAAACTCGCGTGAGACGTCGGAAGAACTGGACAGTCTGATGCAGAAGTTCGTCAAACATTATTTCGAGAAGCTACTGCTCAATCCAGTCTCAAAGGTAAACTAAATTGATTCTTTAATTTAACTCAATTGTTTTTAGTTCTTAGAAAAGGGCAATAAATTAGGAACGTTTCCGATTAACAGCATGTTTCAGGACCAAGCAGGGGGGTTTTGAAGATCTTTTTGGTCATATAGATTAAGAACAAGATTGGAAGGGGTGGATTATGGGGAATAGGAAAGAGCAAAGGTTCAAGTGCGACAAATCCTCTAGTAAATAAAATTGGGGGGAAATTTTCGCCGCGTACGGCACTCACATTTGTTCAATTGTCAATACAGAATTAGTCATTTTTAGGGCTCTTAGGCATGGTTTTTCTTGATTTGATACCATAAGGGTATACTTCGTAATGCGACAATTCGCATTAAAAGACAACTCGCAAAGAAATTTATCTTTTGTCTTCAGGCTGTGTGTATTCTGCTCTATCTTGCCTACATGGGCGCGGCCATCTACGGTGTGATCAAAACAGAGAGGGGCGTGTCTCTTTTCTCAATTGTGGAGAAGCACAGCTCATTCGCCCAACACCTCATTACCAGCAAAACCTACTTTAATCAGACAGGTCTCCTTTGAATTTCATTGTTTGTCGATAATTTCTCGGTCTCCTAATAATGTAAAACAGTAAGAATCAAAGTATTTCTATCAACTGATTTTGATGAAGTTTTTAAGAAGAATGAACGTAGAGAAAACTCTTATATAGGTCTTGCTGATTTTTTTTTTCAGGAAATCCAGGAAAAAGTCTTAAAATTTGTTTACGCTCAATTTTAATTTTTCGCGGTTTGACTTGTGATTTCTTCTTAGTAAGTTCAGTTCATTTTCGTTCTTAAAGGAAGGCAAACGCCACTACCGAACAGCAAAAGTGCAAAGGTCACGAAAAGCGTGATCGACTTCTGATTTAGAAAATGGAAGTTAATTATCAGATTTCCCAGCGAAATAAAAGTTTTTTACCTATTGAACCAGTTCTTTCAATTTGGGTTAATTTTAACAAAAAAGTGTCCATCATAAATTGTTCAACAAATTCAAAGAGCTCTATGGCCATCTAATTTTTTAATTTGAAATTCAAAAAATGAAGATATTTGAAAAACAAGTCGTTTTTTTTCAGTTTCCTTGCGTTCATTACTCTTTTCCAGCTGTCAGTTGGCTATGTTTCAAATATCAGGGAAAAGTGCAGTAATAATATTGTTTTTCTGCCAACTCAAAAGGAATACTGTAAACGGGCATGAATTTAGAGGTTTGAAGGAAAGTTAGATTAAGATTTAAGAAAAATTTCATGTTTAACTGTGAGAAGTTTTAACTGGAAAAGGTTCAATTTTTTAGCCTTATTTCCTTATTTGGTTATAGTAATATCAAATGTTTTAGGTGTCCCTATGATGTTGGTATTCACAGAACCCATCGATTATCACAAAAGCGAAGTGCGTGATCAGATATTTCAACTGACCAATGAGCTTCAAGCAAATGAGTTGATCGAGGACAACTTTACAGTCTCGTGGTTGAACAAATTCATGGACCCAAAATTTTACGACAACCCCAAAAAAGGCCGCGACTTTACCAATGCGGTCGACTTCGGGAAAAGTTTGAAGCATTTTCTGGAAAATGAGGGCAAAAATTACGCCGGTGATGTTATTGTAGACGACGATTCTTATAAAATTGTGGCTTCTAGATTTCATTTTCAGGCGAAAAGTTTGTGGAGCTCAAATTACATTCTTGCCAGCGATTTTATGGTCAACGTTCGGGAAATTGCCACCCAATCAAAGTTGCCGGCAATTGTTTTCTCTGGAGTTTTCATTTACTACGAGCAGTACACCTATTTGATAAAAACAGCCGTTGAAGTTTTGGTCTTCAGTGTTTTAGCTCTTTTTGGTGTTTCGGTCTTGTTGGTTCCTTCGTTGATGATCGCAATTGTAATGACACTTACTGTTATTTCTATAAATGTCGGAGTTTTAGGCTTCATGTACTTTTGGGATATGAAGTTTAGCATCATCACTTTAATTGATGTAATTCTAAGCACGGCTTATGTCATGGACTTTGCGGTCCATATATGTCTCGGGTATATCGAATCCGACAGCCACACGAAGAACGCTCGTGTCCGTGACGCGATAGAGAATAACGGAGTTCCAATATTCAACGGTGCTTTATGCACGTCGGCTGCAATTTCAGTTTTTGCCGTCGCCGAATCCTATTTGTTCCGATCGTTTTTTAAAACATGTCTACTGGTAATATGCATTGGTGTGATTCATTGTTTACTGTTCACACCTGTTATTTTGAGCCTAATAGGACCGATTGGGCCGAAAAAGAACAAAGCCGAGAAAAGTAATTCATCCAGATCCCAAACACCTAAAAATAATCAAGCTAATTACGACGAAGATGATTTTCCATTTTTCGAACGCCAAGGTTTTCTTACCAAGAGTCCATCGTCTTCAGATGGTAAAAATGACGCCATAAACTCGCCTGGCGCGGGCTCAGCTTCAACTCGAGTGGGTGAAAAAACCGTTCACACCAATAGCAGGCCAAATAGTCGTCATAACACTCTAGGCAGATGTGTTTCTGTGCAGACATCATCAGAAAAAGTCAATCAGCCGACAGAAAACTTGGAAACATATGCAAACATGGGCAACGATCAATCGCAACCTGCATATTCGGTGCCTAATTTGAACAAACCGGCTTTCCCGCCTCCTAGAAACACGACATCAAAGGTAAACTCAGGTAGTTTTCACCAATTATCCGAAAATCAAAATAGTCGAGACACCGCAATATATAGCGGCCGAGAACGGCCAATTACGAGCGCTTTCACGCGCGTTGATCCGGTGAACTTACGTAATCCGAACTACAACATGACGTTTGATGTTAACCCCCAACAACATCCTGTTACGTCATCGGAGTATGAACAGTTTGAGTTTTACGGGTCTTCCAACTCTCTTTCAAGTGCAGTTGCAGTGTCTCCAAGCGAGACGAAAGTCTGAAAAAAGTATTTTACTGAAAAAAAAGACCAAGAACAAAAGCGCTGCCAAACAAAAAACTGAACAATAAGTTTAGATATGAAAGTTAGATTTTTTTAAATTGGTTATCTTTTGTTTCTTTAAAGCTGACTAATTTGATCTTCCTAATAAAAATTTACCCCTTTATTCCGTAATAAGAATTTAATTTGAATTCAGTTTGTACTATCCCATCTGTTTTTGAACGCTAGCTCGGCTCACTGAGCCCAAAAAGATAATAATTAATTATATGTCATATTATAGTCAGTCTCTAAGAAACTGAAAATTATTCGATTGTAATCCATTAAAAAGAATTATAATATTTATATTTTTTATGAAAACAATCCGTTTTAATGAATTAAAACATAACGAGGCCAAACTGTGCCTTGGACAGGCGCACACTTTTGTGTCTGTATGTTTAAAATTTAATGTCAAAAGGAAAAAGTTGCAGTATACTCATGGCATATGTGTTTAAGCACCATTCCAATCTTTCTTCTAATCAGTCAAATGATGCTACTAGCAATGCTAATCTATCGTATGCCATTTTCTATTAGAACGCTTTGTTTTGATCATCAAGAGGGTCAAAAAAACGTTTCATTGAAATTTCTGTCTTTGAAGAAGATGATGGAATATTTGATCTTGGGTCGTTTTTTGTTCACAAATTTTTTGACTAATAAATTACATTACGAGGCCAAACTGTGCACTTTGTTAATTCTCAGCGGATTCCACAACTAGCCAAAATCAGAATTGTTGGTAATCCGCAACATTGTTTTTTTTCTTTGTTGTTCTTTGCTGTTTTGAATTCCACGGAAAAATAGCAAAAAAACTCTTTTGCTCAAAATCGCTCCAAAAACTAGCAACTTTGAGGAACCCGCAACCAAGTTTGTCGAATCCGCAACAAAATTTAAGGAATCCGCAACAAAAAAATGTGCCGACAAAATTTACGCTATGGGAACCCACTCAAATTTTGTAAGTGGAATTCATTTACTTTTTGGAACATGTTTAAAGACTTGTCTCTGGGATCCAGGAACATACAGACACAAATTTGTTATCCTATCCAGTGCACAGTTTGTCCTTGTAATGCGGAAGGTCTGGGAACAACAGTGTTCCTTATATCATAGCTACTGATATTTTTTGCAATTATGTCCTGTTTTGTTGAAGAACTGGGAATTTGTTCAGAAGACGATGGGCAGACCGGTCAAAGGTGGGGCTCATTTCAAAATATGTTTCCGATTCCTTCAAAACAATCCAAATTGTGTAGAAATCTTGAGTTGCATATGCACAACTTATATTGAATGTAAGGACGAAACTGGAAAAAAAAAACTTGAAAAAAATTGCATAATGATAAACTGAGTTGAATTTAGGCAAAAAACTGAAAATAAAATTTACCAGAAACTCAGAACGAATAAAATAGTGCTTGTTTTGAAAAATTTGGGTCAATATTTTTTTCTAAGACGCATATTTGTGGCTTTTTAAGCAAATAAAAATTACCCCAAAACTACAAATAAGAGTGCTCCACTTTATAAAACAATGTACCCCTCCCACCCCTCCCCCCCTCAAGTAACCAAAAATAGAAAATCCCCCAATTCATGTTTCAAATTTGAATTGAAAAAAAAACTTCCATTGATTTGTTCTTCAAACAAAACCCACGTTATTTTCATTTATGACGTTTTTTCTTAAATTTAGAATAACTACTAGACTGAAGCAAATTTGCCAAATCATCGAATTAGTACTAATCATTAATGCTTAGGATTCGCGGTAGTACGCGCAACCGTTTGCACTAATAGCTTGATTGACACGCACTGAGTACTGACAAGAAACGGATTGTAAACGGTTTTATACAGACGATGAATTTGCACCAACTTAGAATCTATTAAGTTCAATACAGAAATGTAGCCCGAAAAAATTAATTTCAATCAAGTTCAATTTTTTTAATTCTGTTTCAAGCGGATTAATTTAACAAAAATAATTATTTAAATCAACTTGTACTGATTTTTATCAGTTTTTTTGTTTATTAATTTTTTACAGATCATTCACAGGTCATAAACAGATTATAACAGAATTTATTTAAAATTTTTTCGACCAAACAGGAAAACTAGGAATGAAAAAACAAAACAAATGCTTTTTTATTGGATTCTGTGTTGATATTTAGCCTAGAGTAAAACTATGAACACCAGTATTTTGTTTATTTCTGCACCAAATTTGATTTGATTCAAATTGAAACTTGCAAAAGCAGTTTATTGTTCCGACTTTTGTAACGAAACTAACGGAATATTTGTGCTCGGGGTGGTTTCTGAACTTCAATTTGAAACAATTTTACTGCTCCATAGAATTTAAAATGCAGTCGGAACATTCAAGGCTTTCCTCTGATACGATTACTCTTGTTTGCCTTAAAAAATGCGCTCAGAATTTGGGCTAAGACAGATTTCGTCCCATTACAGATCTCGTCCCATCTTATTTTCAACAGATATCGTCCTATTTCAAAGCGTACACAGATTTTGTCCCACAAATTTGGGAGTACTCAAATTTCGTCCTAATTTTTGTGAAGTGTGCGCTTTCGAAAGCAAGTAGTTAAAAAAAGTAGTTAAAAAAATTCAATGCTTCAAATCACAGCAGGACTTGATTAGCACTTTTGAGAACAACTTAATTTGCAATTACAGTAATTTTCCTAAAATAGGAAGAAATCTGTTGGACATGGGACAAAATTTGAATAGGACGAAATCTGTTATTTAAATTAATAGGACAAAATTTGTAGTTAGACTAAATCTGTGCAACCAAAAAGTTCTGCGACAAGAAAATAATTTTTGCACCTGAAAAATAGCTCTTAAATGATCCAATGAATAACGATATTCAAACCTAATCAACGACTAATGGATAGCCTTAACGTTTTATTGCAGCGTCGGAGAGTGAACGAGATGAGACACTTTAGAAAAATGAAGAGTGTTTTTCTGTAGTTTGATATATCAGCGGATTTTATTTAAATTTTACAGTCAGTATTTTTTGACATATACAAATATTACTAACATTGCTCACAGGCATGATTTGAGAGAAATTAAACAATTTCCAAGATAGTTTGCGCAGGACACTTGACGTGGGTCCTTCTTAATTTGGCTCAAAAAAATTGTTTTATTTATTTTTTGGATGCGACAGGTATTGCAATTGCGAAACGATGCTCTTTTAAATGGTCATCTTTATAAAAAAGAGTACCATTTCAAACACATTTTTTTAATTGTTCTTAGCAGAAAACTGTGAGAACCTTTTTATTTTTTATCTCATGCAAATAGCATTTTGCTGTTGGTCCATCGAGACCACCATTAGTAAAACGAGTTTTTAATTTGACAAGGACTGAAAGTTGCACACACTGTAGCAGGCTTTAACGGCCCAGTTGAGTTTTTTTTTTCTAGTGTAACAGCTAGGTTTTTTAATTTTGTAGTCAAAAATACAGTCGAACGATGCAAATGGCTGAGTGCTAAGCATTTATTGAGCATTAGTTTTAAATTGGATGGTGCAATTTTTAGGAGTGTATAGATATTTTTGATATTCAACCTGATTTTGATATGTTAGTTCGTTGTTGAAATACTTCTAGAAAGAAAAAACTCAATTCAACTTTGATTAGTTCTTACAGAACTTTGCTCAATTTAGTTCAAAAAGTTAGCAATGTTCTCTGCAAAACTCTCTTTGTCTTGCTAACTTTCTTAGCGTTCATCAGCAGAGTTGTTTCATCAGCCAACTTTTTCGCTAACACATTTTACATTTTTGTAGATATCATTGATTTTAAATTAAACAAAAGAGCTCTTAAAACTGTACATTGAGAAATTCCTCCCACGACTGTGAACCAATCTGATTCTGTTCTAAGGCAACTTGATGATGTCTCTTTGTCATAAAATGAATATAAAATGAATGATGGTTGAATTGAAGGCTAGTTATTCTTTTTTACTAATAAAAAATTGTGATCGATTGATCTGAAAGCAGTAAATATTTCACGAACAGCACCCGCAATTAGCGCGTTTCTTCGGCTTTTGGTCTGATTGTTTCTGTTAACAGTGGAGCATCTATGCATGAAAAACATTTTCGAAATCCAAATTGATGTTTGCTCGTCAAATGGGATTTATTTAGGGTCACTTGTTGTTGAAGAAATTTTTACAAAAAAAATTTTCGCCAGTGAAGGAGTAATAGATATTGGTCTGTAAATTGTTTCAAATTCGGTAACATCTTGACACAAGCTGGTAATTCAAAAGATCGGAAGGTTTAATTTTTCATCAAAGCGAGAAGATATTTTCGTAATTGAAGTCTGGTAATCAAAGTGCAAGAGGAAAAATCCCTGCTGATGAGATTCTTCGGGTTTACAAAATTTGGAAAAAAAGGTGCAAACAAGAACTCAGAAACTTTACTATCTATTTTCCATCCGTTAAAACATTTCCAAACAAAATTCAAATCCAAGCAATATCACAAGCAATTTTTTTTTGCTTCTCGTCACTTCGTTTATACGTTTTCATTTCAATCTATCTGATGAGCCGATTCAATGAAGTGATTCCAAAAGGTATCGTAATTTTTCTTGTTTTCCGTGGACACTAGATCTTCTAACTTCATGATTTTACAACTGCAAATGATTTTCGATGCATAATGTTTAGCTAGTAAAAAGACCGGTTGGTCATCTTTTGTGAACAAGTAGTTGATCGGAGCATGTTTCGAAAGATTTTAATTTCTTCAATAACAGCAAACCTCTTTTTATCTTCAGTTTCCATTTATCAATTTGGCCAATCTGATGTTTTCGTTGTTTTTCTGAATTCTTCAGCTGAATATTTTTTGTTAACAAAAATGTGCTTGAATTTCACAAGAAGTTGAGTTGCGTAATTGTTATTAAAGAATGATGATCACTTTTTGCAGGACAGTAGCTTACAAAGGTATCTACTATTCTCAAACTGGTGTCATAAACTATGAGTGAATATCCAGCAGTTCTTGTGGGTAAAAAATGGTTGTTAATCGATAGATCATAGGTACAAAGTACGTATCCAGTTTTTTCTATCTCTTTTGGGATAACTCAAATTATAGTCACCAATCAGAAGTTACTAAGTACTGCCTATGACTTTTTTTACGATGCCTTTGCAAATTGCTTAAAAAGTCAGTATTTAGACTTTTCTAGGACAGTA